TGTGAGCATGTTGCTAACATAAAGTTAAACAACTTATAAAAATATCGCATATATGACCTTAAATAAAATATTTTAACGATGCAAATAATACCGTAAAATATAGATAAATTTTAGGTGAATTTATGAGGGTAATTTATTACATAAAACCAGCTAGTGGCTCAAGTAGAATCAATAAAAAACTAAGTTAGATGTAAACTTAATTTTAGAAGATCTGACCATTACCTTAATAAATTCAAGCATTTTATTTTATTAATGGAGTTACTCCATTCTTCAAGCTTCTTTTCTTATACACCCTAATTTCGTATCAAATTAATCTGGGTCTAATTAGTGAATTTATAAGGAATGTAAGCACAGATAAGGCGTAACAATAGTATTAACAGTAAATGTCCTAAACTCACAGCCAATCAACAATTGTGACAAAAAACTGAAAATTTTAGGGATAATCATATTATGTAGAACTTTCTTCAGGTTATTGAACCAATTTTGAATTTGAATACGAGTTGGCTTCCTTTATGGTAAGTTAAAGCAATGTTGACTAAATATATATATATTTATTCCTGAAATTTTGCATATCCTAAAAATATTAGTATCCTTCGTCCAACGTTTTGACAAATTATACTATACAGAAAAACTTATTAATCATTAAAAACCATTGATAATAAATAAATGCTCCTATTATTAATATAGTAGGAAATATAGCTGCAAAACAAGATCAGTAGTATATAAATAATTGCATTAACTGTGTACTCGTTTCAAAAGATGGTTCGGAAGTTTCATATCAGAGGGCTATAAGACATATTTGATTAATACCTTTTTATGATAACTTGTCGTAAAAAATTGGAGGATGTTAAATAAACTTTTATATGCGAGTATTGGTTGATTTTTTTTTAATGATATAATTTGGCCACATGTTTCCAGTCAATTTCACATAGCCTTGATTTGCAAAAGGTATTCTGATCTTAGGCGGACTGCAGTTTCGACCTCGCCTAGGTCTCATCAACACTCCCAGCGCGACTATATGCCAGTTAGTGCAACCCATAGTCTCAATACCCTAACCACTACGCCACATTGCGCCACACTAACACGAGTGCACTTGGGTCATAGGGCAGAAGTGAATCACCAGGAGGTCTGGTGTTTTTCCAATTCAAATGTCTTCGGTGGGATTGCCGATGAGGCAAGGTTACATTTTATTGTAGCAATCGACCACATTACTTACTTTCACTTCTGCATAATGACTCAAGGGTGCTCATGTCAGTGTGATGCAGCGTGGCTTAATGGTTAACGTATATAGACTATACGCTGCACTGCCTGGGTTCGAGACCCACTAGGGGTGCTAAGGAGACCTAGGCGAGGCCAAAACTGCAGTCCGCACTGGATGAGAATCGCTTTCGCAAGGCGAGGCTATGCAAGATACTATGGAAACATCAGGCGAACTAATATCATTGTCAGATAATTCAACTGCCAGTATTTCATCAATTTGGAGTCATCTAATCATGACCAGATTCAGAACATAAGACATAAACACGTTTGAATCAATTATCTCAGGCTTATTATTTGGGGATTAAAAATAAAGGTGCTAAAGAGTCAATAGTTTTCAGTGAAAAAATAAATCAACTATCGAACTTACTTCCATTTCGAGTGAAAGTGTTTGGTGAAGAGATTCGAAGGTAGATTCGACCAGAAGACAAAGGCGGATTCCTCTTGACCAGCTGTCGATTGACTTTACTGGAACATTCATGATGACGCTCTTTCCAAGGTAATCTCCTTAGATTCCGGTGAAAAGGTGCTAAGCTTACGTTCGCCATATGACGAGCATCACCAGAGCAAAGTATCATTCTTGTTGGTTATAACATGTATGTAGAAAAGAGGAGATAGTGGTCATCAAACCTTGATAGCCGAGAACAGACGTTACGTTTGCTATCCTAATTACTTTGAGCCATCACTGCTGGCTCCGTGCATAAGCGAACACAAGCAGGCATATGTACATACATATACAGACACATTCACAGGCTTCGAGGTTGATATATGAGCGTGACTAACCAAATCACTTTATACCTCATCAAATGGCCAGATATAGTGTATATATACACCTTTTTAGTGATTTGCCGATGTGTTTACTTAATTTGTTAGCTTAAATTTGGTTGTAAGGATGATACTTTGCTCTGATGATGCTCGTCATATGGCGAACGTAAGCTTAGCACCTTTTCACCGGAATCGGAGGAGATTACCTTGGAAAGAGCGTCATCATGAATGTTCCAGTAAAGTCAATCGACAGCTGGTCAGGAGGAATCCGCCTTTGTCTTCTGGTCGAATCTACCTTTGAATATCTACACCAAAAACTTTCACTCGAAATGGAAGTAAGCTCAGAAATTATGAAACAAGATAGTCCTCGAAACCAAACTATTTTTCGCATACATCAGCTAGACATGTATATTATTTTGACAAATACTTAAAAACAAACAAGATAGCAATTTGGGAATACATTCATCATTACACAATGATTTTCGTTTTATTTAAGCTGTATATCCAAAAACCTATTCTAGCTATATTCTAACCTTATATATGCTTGGTTTAAAGTATAACACTCATTAATCTTCGCATTGTATCAGTGATACTACCTACTTTGCATAATTCTGTCTACGGGATACTGATTTACTTAAGATAGTATGTTGAAAAAATATGGCCGTAAAGCATCGAAGAGTAACGGACTAATCTATGAGCCTTTTTGTCCATTGAACTATTTATAAAATTATTTGATTTTAAATCGGATTTTTAAATATTTATAACAATAGGAAATACCAATTACATATTAGCTCATTTTTATTTAGACATCTGGGCAAAATTTTAAATTTTGCGCTAGTTATTGAAGTAAAGTTTGCATCTGGAAAGAAAAAAAAGATGTGTCCATTTAGCTCAAAACGAAATAGCGATTTTTATAAAATGCAGGAAATTAAAAACAAGGTTCCGGTATTTGATGGCTAAATAGCTGCATATGATAAACGATATTCTGATAGGCAATAGTTCAATCTTGATTAATGTGAGAAGATAGTAGAGAGGATGCAAGTTCTATTTTCCCAATATATCGCTTTAACTATTAAATGGATTATCAAATATTTACACACAATATGCAAATAAAGTGTTTAGTACTCATTTTAGTCAGACAGATGTAATACTAGAAAGCAATTTATTTAAACAAATTACTTTTATGTTAATTAACATTTTTAGAACATTCTATGGATGTATATGAAAGTGAAAAATACTTACGGGCTATTTATCATAATAATATAATAAGTTAGTATACGTTGTCTTCTTAGTGTGATTCTCTTATAGACAAACTTGAGAACATACGCAAGACAAGTTTTTATGGAGGAAATAAGGGAAAAGTGATTATTTGCGGAATTTACTGGAGACATTAGCTAGCAAATCCCTACATCTATTTATTATATGTGCTAGATAAACCTCATATTTTCTGCTTAAAAAATATGGCTGCATTATCCTAAAAGTATCAGTAAAATTGGTCTTAAAGCAATAAAATTTCACTTGAAGGGGATTACCAAATTTTCTTTCTCGTGAAGCATTCTGGTTAGCAGGGTTGTCTCAGTAGACATTTGTCCTGTCTGAGTAACAGCGAATTGATTTTGCTGTAGGTGTTGGGGCTGTAGGCAATGTGGTTGGTTCTGGTGTAGCCCCTGCTGTGGTCCGTAGAGTAGACCACCACCAATAACGCCAGGCGATATAGATTCACTTAAGCTAGAGCAGCCAACAGCCTGGCCACCTGACATAGCAGCTGCTGCAGCTGCTGCAGCCGCCGAGCCAGACCCGATCAGCTGGAAAGCACTGCCTGCTAAGTGGTGGTATGGGGATGTGGAACCGCCAACAGGACCTCCGAGAATCCCTTGGCTGCCCAATAATTGGCCAGTTGCTGCTGGTGGAACCATCAGACTACTAGGCTTCATTCCAGAGTGGATAGACAGTCTAGCAAGCTATAGAAAAGAGGAGGTTTTAGGTCAGTTTTATCTGGTCTATGACTCAGTACAGCAGGAAGAAGGATAATACATAATAGTAAAAGTGTCGGAGTTAGTTTGGATTAGCTAAGATTAAATAACTTTGCATAAATCAGATAGAAAATTGATGCTATTATATTGTTAATATGAATAAACAAAATTCATTAAAATTCTTCTGAAAGATTCGTTAAGGGCCTTAAGTTTTCGAGACTACTAATAATGCTATAACAAATATAAGCTTGCTTCATCGACAATCCCAACAGAAAATGTGATATGCAAAATGCCTGACATTCCTTGAATTTCAC